GGAGAACATTATAATCTAGCTTCGGAAATTTGCGTTTCTTTTTCTTTCTTCGAGCTCGTAAAAAACGATGCAATCATTGCAAAGAGGAACACGCAGCTAAGTAAAAATTTTTTTCTTACATTGTGAAGTGCGCGGCAAAAGTATGGTACAAGTAATGGTATGTGCGCCTTTTCATCAGATAAAAGTATATAGCTACTAAACGAATTATATTTACATTTTTACTCGAATAATTTTGCTTCAACGATCCTCTTTCATTATTTTCTTTCTTTTTTTTTTTCTTTCTTTAATTTCAACCTCTCCCTCTCTCTCTCTCTCTCTCTCTCGCGCGCGCAATGAAAAACTTATATCAATTGCATTATATATATATATATATTTATATATAAAAAGGCAATCGTTTCGTGGTGCACGCAATAACAAATAGAATTATATAGCTGAGATCAATATTGCAATTATATCTTTGCACCTATTACGCTTTAAATAATTTCTTTTCTTTTTTTTCTTCTCCCTTTGTACTGATTCATCTCACAATTAATCAGCGCTATAGATTAGTCGAAGTTTAATAGTTCAGTTCAACTTAACATCTTTTTACACAATTCGTCAGTCTTGTGCGCGTATTGTATGTTTAATCGATATTGAACCGTTGAAGCAATTACGTTTCACGTAATTGTAACTGAAACGTTACGTAGATTCGCTCTTTGTTCTTTCGTTATTTATATACACTAGAAGACTCACAGGTGTACGTGCCTTTGTTAATGTATTTTTACTTTTAGTTTTATTCTTTTATTACGAATGCCGGTCAGGAAATGTATCTCGTGCTCTCCAAAAAATATGGAAGCACGAAAATCATCGAAGAACCACGGTTAATCCAGATTACCGGGATATTTTATCTTCATAATCGGACAATCTGAGTTAACCATTTCTTATGGACTGCTAAAAAAAATAAATAGTATACCTCGTATCATGTTATCGTTCTGTAACTCGAAACTACGGCAGTAGAATAGAAAAACTTCTATTATTGCCTCAACAAACTTATATCAAATTTATATTACAGCTTATAAAAATTGATGACTTCTTGTATCAGTATCGCGTGTAAAATATTCAGTATATTCGAGACGAAAGTTCCTTCTCTATATTCGTTATGAAAAATCTGTAAGAGTGAACACAAATCATTCAAGATTCGATATGATTAGAAGCTATTATACAACAAAGGCTAGTATGAAAGATCTAAAATGATGCACTAAAAATCGAATCTAAACGCAATAAATGATACATGCGAATACTCATATATATGTATATATATATATGTGTATGTATGTATGTATGTATGTATGTATGGATGTATCGATATCTCTATCGTATGACAGACATATAAACAATGATATTTTTTTTGTTTAATTAATTTTTGCACAAAAATCTATTTCGGGCACGTGTAATGTAAGACGCTCATGTGATGAGCAAGTTAGGAAAGATTGATAATCTTTTTAATTACTCTGTATGATAATAGGCACCCACGTACATCTGCAGCAAATTCTTTTACATTATAAATCAGGTACACGCTTGAATTTTTTTTTTTAATCGATTATGCGAAGCACACTTTTCTCTGAACATTAGCAAAAACTGCACCAATTCCGAAGAGGAAATATAAATAATTAAATTAACATCAATCGAAGAAATATCCGTAATTCTTACTTTTGTAAATATTTCTTTAATAAAAAACGTAACAGCTAATTCTTTTATAAACACTGAAAATGTAGATTACAACATAATATACTGATAACAATTCCATCTTATGGTGGAGAGTAGCTATATTTTGTTGTACCAACATTGAAATTATCACTATTTAGTATTTCATGTGTAAGGTATTGTACAAATTATTCCATACTTTTTGGACAGTGTGCTCACAGTATATTATTACAATTTGCAAAAATACGATTTACTATGTTAACAAAACCTGCACTCTTTACACTAGCGCTACAGTGTCCAAAAGTATAGGTCAAGTGTTACAATGCAGCAGGCATATACATAAATGACAATGTACACTCATTCATTCATCATACATACACGCACCATATAACAACATTTATATATGGCCACACAACATTCTTACCATAAAGAGACTACCCAAGACTGATCATCAGGCATGTGCTCATACACATTGCTCTTTTCAATGATGCAATTTTGTGTTGAAAAATAAAGAACAATCTATTATATTACATTTAAAAAATTTTCAGTCATTTACAGTAGGGAAGCTTATCGACATGGTAGAAATAATCTTATTTTGAATGTATGTGGAATCCCGACGTGATTCGTAATGAATTTCATTGTATGTAACTTATGAAACACTGTACAGTGCAACGTACACTAACGTTACATGATCCATCAAGGTCCATTGAGGCCAGCTCACACAAGACCATACAGGTAGGGCGCCAGATATCGGGCGGGTCACTTAAGTTCCTGCCCTTCACAGAACATCACTTCAAGTATGATTTATACAGCATTGTGCTCCTACACGTTTCTTTTTCTTGTTCAAGAAGGAACAATAAGTCTCTAAAGTTCACCCTTTTCAAACGTGGTCTCATTGGCATTTGTCTATTGATTCCAGCCGCCGACACGTTCAAACCGGAATTATTGCCTGGACTACTGGCAGACCCTCCTATGTCAAGTTTAGGCTTTTTACGTGGACCGATTGCTTGCAAAGCTGTCAAGTTAGCTTCTCTTTGTCTTAATTCTTCCATTTCCGCACGTTGCATCTAAATAAAATTTCAGGTATTATAATTAACCTTAGTTCTACAATCGCACTCTTTTCCTTAATTTGTACACTTATGAAAGTACCTCTTTAGCTTTCGCCTTGAGCTTAGCTTGTTCTGGATCTTCCGTTTTCGCGCGACTTTTCGCTGCGCGCAAAAGTAATTCTCTTTCTTGTTCTTCATGTCTTCTACGTTCAACTTTATCTAAGTCTTCCAAGAACTTTAACTGTGCCCTGACATCTTGCGTTACCTCGTAACGCGGATCCACCTATATAATCATTATGTGTTATTTATTTCATAAATGATTCATATATTTAATTAATAAATACGTTTAATGATTATAGTATAAAACAATATATTAATTTAATTTGTTACAATCTTTAAACTTCACCTTTATTAAATCTATCCTGTGTTCTGCAATTACTGCTAATTTTTCTACTAAATTCTTTAACCTTTCCTGCGCAGCATGTGATATTAACGCCGCAACTTCTTGATTAGGTTCTTCTAATCCATAATTAGAAACTAAAAAATAAACTTATGCTATTTAAATATCATACTTGTGGGCTATACCATATGTTTAAATTAAATCATTAACACAAATAGTTACCAATTTGTTTAATTCTTTGCTGTAATGGTGTCATATGCAAGAACACTTCATCTTTACACGATCTTATTTGCGTCCCAACAAATTCTGTAGAACCGAGAATCCTTTGAGATTCTTCTGCAAGATTAACACCACCCATAGCTGCAACATCGTTAATATCGTCATCTCCCCTATTTAAGGAAATAAAAATACATATAATTATAAAATATAATCATGGACAGACTTCAACAAATAAGACTATACACAAACTCCAATTACAAAAAGTGATTACGTACGTATATCCTGCAGACGAGAATGTCTTTTTTTCTTTTTCTTTAGTAACTGGCTTTGGAACGAATGAAGGCACTACGGCTTTATTAACAGTAGTGGTTGTGTTGACTGTTTTGCCTTGCGTTGTAGTTGTAACTGTTTTAACAACAGTTGTTGTAATAGGTGGTTATTTATATAATTTTTTTTTATAGCTTAGATCATATATAATAAAAACAGTAAAATAAATAGGAAAGGAATACAAAGTGTCTCGTTAAAAAGAATAATTACAAACAAAAGTACATCAATCTCTAGTTATCAAAACTCAGAGTATTAATTTATTACTATTACAAAAACTATATTACACAACTTAATAAACTTTAGATACATTAAATGTAGTAAAATTAAAACTTTTCTTATATCTTACCAGCCTTTGTTGAACTGGCTGAGCTGGTCGGGGAACTGTAGTTGTAGCTGTAGGTAGTGGAGTCATGACTCTTACTTGTGTAGTTGCAGTAACTGCAGTTACAGGAACTGTTGCAGCTGCCACAGCAACAGTTGGTCTAAGCTGATTCTGCTACATTATATGATAAAATACATTAATACTAAGCATATAATTTAAACAAAATGTAAATGGATATAGCATAAATAAGCAGTGTAGGTTCTACTATTAACTACCTTAAATGACAAATTCATCAATACACTATACATTATAATACACAAATCCATTGCTGATATATTAGAACATTATTCCTACCTGTGTTACTACTGGAGTGGCAGATGTTACAGGAAAAACAACATTGGCTGGAGGTGGTCTTATCCCTTCTATAACCAATTCTTTTGTAACGAGAGATTGCCGTAAAAGTGGCAAACTTTTTTTGAGGAATCCAATCAAGCATGGTTGAGGTGATGCATTCAATAATCTTTCAAGCCTATCACAGAACTCTTCAGGTTCAACTTTAGTATCAATTAATTCTTGTATCAAAGTTCGAACATTTCGTTCCACCGCTTTAGGTTCTCGACTAGACAACTCTAACAAGTTTGCTAAAAATTTACGGCACTTTTCTTTGGTATTATCTGTAGTTTGACGCTAAAAATAAAAAATATAATGTAATACAACCATATATCATATACAATATTTTGGCTAAATTTATATAGCATTATATTTAATGAGTATTATTAAATATTCCATTTTTTTATTTTATTAAGTGCACATTATACTTACAGGTGTTGGTGTCTGAACAGTTTGAACAGTAGTGACAGGTGGGGTAGGTGTAGTTGTGGCAGCAGCAGTCACTGTTGCTGGAGTTGTAGATGCTGTTGTAATAGTTGCAGCCACAGTCTGTTTAAATAAAGAAACAATTACTATATAGTTTTTCATGCTTAAAACTAATTAAAACACAGAAATTTCTATTTTGTAAATCAATGCATAAAAAATGAAAAAATATTTACACTTTTATTTTTAAAGAATGTCTATAAGTTTATAACTTCATGAAAACTGCATTAGAAATATAAAATTGCAATATCATTCAAAAGTAAAAGCATTTTGCAACATTACTAAAATTAAAATATAAGTAGTGAGTTCATATAATAAATAACAATTTTGTATGCCATGCTTTTATCTTGAAAGCAAACATCTCTATGTAAGTTTGATACTAACTTCTCATTTCTGAACAACCTTTTTTGATAACCTTCTTCTTAATAATAATTTTTTTACATTCATTATATCAAATACTTTGACTTATAAAACATCAATCAATCCGTATTTATTTATAAGAGCAATTTAAAATTGAAGAAGATTACATTATTTAATGTACTGAAGCTCAGTATTACTAAAAGAATTTAGAATGATAATAAATGTATTTCCCACATGCATTCTCTTATTAAATGTTTGCAAAAACGTTCATAACATCACATTTTTTCTATTTACCTACAATTACAATCTACATACGTTTTTTCTATATGCATGCTGAACTTCAGACATGAACACTACATTTTTATGATTCCCTTAATCATTTGCATCATTTTCAAAATTAGACATATCATTATATTGAGTAGACACAGTAAATATATTTGTAGTACACATTAAAGACGCACTTGTACCTTGTACAGACTCGTAATTTTTTTTACTGTAATATTATCCTTTAGTTGTTTCTTGTTACAGTATATAACATTTGTTTTTATCTGATATATTTTTTATGAGAGTATTTTAGATTTTTTTAAGACAAATATTTTATACAGAAGTAATACTTTAGGCATCAAACTATCAAAATACAATTCCTTGTATAAAAACACAGTAGAAAATTAGTACATCAACAATTATAAAAGTATTAATTTTAAGCCTATTCTTTAAAATTATTTATTCTTCAACTACACTGTATAGATACTATTATAATTATATAAAGTTTTATAAATTTGAATTTCATCTCTAAAACAATTTAAATTTTACATTTACATGAAGGGGATTTCATTATTCTATAATATATGTATATAAATTCAATTACTTTCTCAGAAATCTGAAAACAAAGTACTTCATGACACCCTTAACCAATATAACATGCAATATATGTATAATAAAGGCATTGGATTTAATAAAATAATTGCACGTTTTAAAACCTCAGAAATTCTACAATAAAGAGGCATCCCAGCAAATAAGCCAATAAGAAAACAAAACTCTCTGTATACTACACAGAACCTTTCAGTCTTATGACAACTAAAAGTTTTTATAAATTCTTGAGTTGATAGTAAACAAATATAAAACTTTCTTCTTTGTACATATCAATGTGATATTTGTACAATATATACCAAAAATTTGTATAAATTAAGAAAGAAACTTAAATGTAATAAATATTTATTATATTTTAAAGAAAATTTCATAGAATCAAAATAACATAAATACAGAATGAAAGAATATAAACATAATACATAGCCTTACCAATAACACCATTCCAACTAATGGCACAAACTAAAAGTCTACTACAGCACTACATCGAGTCTTGTAAGAGGTATAACAGTGCGTCACCTGAACAGATTTTCTTAACGTGGCGAGTGGTGGGCCAGTGAACTGTGTGTTCAGCCTACTTACAGCCGGCACTGAGGCTAAGCGATAGGTAGTGCCTGGAGATGGTGCAGCAACCACTGCATTTCCTGCTATACTATTTGGTGTAACTGCAGTACCAGCCGGAGTACCTGCAGTTGGTGGTGGCCCTACCCTTAGCAATTGATATTGTCCATTTTCTGTTTTTAATAATATATGACCTTGAGTCCCAGCATGAAGACCATGCAAGGTTTGTAATGTTATCTAAAAATTAAAAAATTAAGATTTTCAGAATTTGTACTAATGCATAAATTTAACAACACAGAAACTTATGCCATTAAGCTTATAACATTAAAAGATATTACTAATACTATCCTATGTTAA